AAAAAAAAAAAAAAAAAAAAAAAAAAAAATAGACGAATCTATTACAAAAACGCCAATCATCGGTAGTGGAGTTTTTTTTTCATTCACATTGAAGCAGCACAGAATGATTACTTCGTATTCATCCTTAGTATTTATATATAAAAACAAAAATTTTTCCTTTCGTTTTTCCATCTATTTGCGCCCGATCACACATACGTTTCAAGTGTATGCGCGCGCATACACATCATAGGAAAGCGAATATTCTCGGCGTCATTTTTGTATCAACACTTTTACATTATTTCGATACTTTCCAAACATTTCAAGAATTGACATTTTCATTATACTGTCGACATTTTTAAATTTTTGTACACGAACATTTCTATTACAATATAAGTTACATATAAGATATTTATTGGTAAAAATTAAAAAACAAAATAATTGCATTTATGCAAGTTATTCAAAAAAAAACTTATTCATATGTGATTTATCGTCTCTTTATGTTATTTTTAGTTCCCTGTAAATAAATTTGCAAAAGATCAATCGTTTTTTTTTTAATAATAATTTTTGCGTATATCTTTGTGTAGAATGAAATTTATTTATTAACTCTTTGAAGACTTTCTCCAACAAGTAATTTCTCCTATAAGAATGGAAAGACGAAAGTTTTTGAAATTATTATAAAAAATATTACAGATATATACCTATAATAAATTTTATAAAACTTTTCTTTCATGAACAGACTACAATTGCAATAAGAAATAAAGTACTGTTCACTTGTGGAAAGAAGTCTTGCGAAAGGAAACGCCTTTTCATATACATTTTTGTTTCTATCATATATTTGGTTACATATACTAATTCAAATGATCTATATCTTAACCTCAATGCATTAACAAGCATAGAATTCAGAAAATTTTAACGTATCGATATGGTATAAAAATTTTTTTATTTTTCATCAATATGCGTAAGCTAATTATGATTTGTAACGATAGTTTAATTTATAAATGTAATTTCGTATTCAACTAGTTAAGATATAAGATATATATAATTATATGTATATGAATAAATTAAATATATTATACGAAATAATTAATAGCTTCGAAAATATTTTAGTCTTAGATGATTATTCTAACGTTAGTTCATGAATCCAAATAATTTTTACTGTGACTTTGAATGTCCGAATTATAGCTTTTCTACTACGTAGCTATGCGTGATGTCAACAAAGCGTTTGAAGTGGGGATAGGCGATCCTAATAAAGGACCCCTCTTGCCCCTGTGCTCTCATGCGAAATTTCTTTCCACCAGTGAACAGTATCTCAAAGTATTTCTTCAGAAGAAGAACGAAGATCTTGCCAGATAAAAATAAATAATAGATAAATACACTTGAGAATATATTTACGCTTACCATACGAACGAACATTTTTATTAACTTCCCAATTAATTCATATAAATTTCCATCTATATATTACAAGATCGTTCTAAAAGGAAAAATTTTATCGGCATGTTTCGAAATTCGACACATGTCTATTGATATAAAGCTCGAAATCGAGGTAGATTGCGACTTTTCACGCGGAAATCGCGCTATTTTTACCGAAGGAACTCTCAATAATTCAACACATTTCCGCCAGGGTCTCAACGTTCGCCCGATTCTTCTCCTCGGTTTCGCGCCTCAATCTTTTCGGATCGAGCGGACATGTTTTATTCACCGAGTAACCTCTATCGTGTTCTCAAGTCACTTCTCGTGTGACCGATTTAACGAATTTTTTGCGTTTTCGATTTGGATGATCTGTTTTTTGGTTTTTGGAATTGGAAATTTGTTGACACAATTTTACATAATGGTAAGTCCTAATACTAAGATGATAATAGTGGATAATAAATGGTTTCTTTTGATAATTAGATTAAAAGTTTTTAGACTTTGTAACTCTAGATTCTGGTAATAATATGGAATAATAATAATCTATTTCGATAATAATTTTATTGTAGCATTCGAGTTAAAGAATTTCGATATAGGTTTCTTTTAATATTGTTTCTGTTAATAGGTTAAGAGGTTAGATTTCGTATAAGTTGATAAGTTGATTCAATAAGTTATTAATGATGATTGTGACAGATTTTTTATTTTTGCTAAGTAAATTTGAAAAATTAATATTGAAATTGATATTGATTGAATTGATACTAACAAGAATATAAATTTTTTGATTCAATTCTAATGTTATTAGATTTCGTCAAAATGTTGTTTGAGAAGATGTTTGACTAAACCAGTTTACGAAATGTAATTTAATGGCATTCTTGAGAAACGTATGGTATTGATTAAGAATTTGAGACCCCTTGCTGTGCCAAGAAGAGGTTTCTTTAGTAGGGGTAGTTCGATAATTCAGCTGTATCTATACAAGGCTTCTCACGAGATCACCGAAAATTTCACTGCTTGTTTTCTTAGAAAATAGAAGAAAAATTATTGTAAATGTGTACGTGTAAATATTACACATTTTACACGTTACACATTTTATACGTTATTATAAAATTTTTTTTCTACAGTTTTATTCAATTATAAAATTTATTCCAAAACCTTTACTTTTTTGATAACCTTTATTTCAACAAATAATTTATTACTCTGCATATATTTTCAATTAATTCTAATTATATTTTTAAATTAAACAAATTTTCAATCTTCACTTTCTCCCATTTCAGAAGAATACATTTCAACCAAAAAAAAAAAAAAATTTCAATTAAATTAAAACAAAGAATACCTGCAACTCGTATACGTGCGAGGGACGACTGTGTTCATAAAAATCCCCGTAAACGCGAACAGTCGGCATTTTTACGGCTTCGTCGCATACCATAAAACTAGACAATTTTTCTACGAGCCCTGAACGTGAAGCATCGAGTATCGATATCGTTCGAAAATTGACGTTTTTATATATTTACGAGGTTGCACTCAATCGATAATCGATACACTCCAACGAAGTTGAAATCGAACCAATAAAATTGACCATGGTGGGGATTATTCTTATTTCAACGTGTCTCTTCCACGCGACATGGATATTTGCATATTTATCGTTCGATGTAAAAGAAACATGGAAAGAATCTACTCGAGTTTTTTTTTTCATTCTTCCTTTAAATCGATTCGCATCGCATTCCACGATAGTCGCATCCTTGACTTTTACCTAACCTAACTTTTTTTTCTATTTTAATTCATTTTCTTAAACTTTTCAGATTTTCGACCTATATGAAATAGCTGAATTTGATTAAAAGTGAAAGATTTCTTTTTTTTGGACGAAGAAAAATGGATTGTTTACACGGAAATAAAAATAAAAGTTTTTGATTATTGAAAGTTTCGAAAAGGTTAAGTTAAGATTTCGCACGAAAGGAAGAAGTTAGTTTGAAATTACGTGAAACTGCAAGGTATTCCTAAAGATTAAACAATAATTATACATATATTTGGTGCTGAAAATTTCTCTTTCCAATTCTTTTTTTCTATTCTCTAATTTTATTAACTTAGACTAACGATTACGATATATAACGTGACACGGACGAACGTAACCTGATAAATCCCATTTCCCTTTCAGAATTTCCTTCTTTGAATGCAAATAAAAAAAAGAAGAAACGTATTGGCATACCGGAGTTTCAGTTACGTTCGAGCGCATCGCGAAACATTGGTTGTACGTTGGATGATCGATAGAGTTAATATTGACGTCTATTGTTTCCGCAAGATAACCGAAAAGAACGCGAGGAAAACGCATGCCCACACACGATATCAAACCGATCGGACAGCGGTGGAAGGTGCGATAATTAATTTTCTCGCGGCAAATTTCCATGCTGGGATGTATCCCGGTGAAATTTTATTGATATTAATGCTTCCAGTCGAGTTAATATATCGACTTTGACACGAAATGGAATTCGCGCGAATTTTAAATAAAATGCAATCGAGGAAATTTATTATTGTTCGTTAAATTCGTTATTGACATTCTTTTACGCGGTATATTAAATTTCAAAGCTTTCTGCAAACAATTTTATAAATTCGTTGTGCGCGTAGAAAAATTTTGATCGATCAATTTGATAAGTTTTATGAATTATAAATATATTTATAGTCAAGACATAGTAACGAGGAATATATTTATTTATACTTTATCAATTTTCATTGAAAACGGTTTCTTATCTTAAATCTTGCCATTTAGATAAGAAAACGAATGAAAATGCAAATGAAATTACAAACATCTTCGAAAATTCCTCTTAAAAGAGGGAGATAAAAATTCCTTTCCAATCTTTTCTTCAACAAACAATTATTTCTTCCAATCGCACCATTTCCACCGTCTGTCCAACGTGTCTCGTACGTCGTATAAGGTTGAAAAAT